AAGACATCTAGGGAATCTGCACCATACCTAGCAGTGAATTGTATACAGAATTGTCTGGCATGTTCTGGAATCTAGAGAAATTGACATTCTCTACTTCTTTAAGTTACTGGGAGGTAAAAAGCCAGTTGTTACCCATGCCCTTCCCCACCATTCAAGTTGTTTGACAGTTTTCTAGATCCAGAGTAAGCCCTTGCTAGTTTTTAACAAATAAAGAAATAAAGACCTCTAAAATTTGTTCCTCAAACCATCAGTTAATAAAGTTTTATTGTAAATCTGTAATGTAGCTTCCCTGAAGAATTTACATGTGCACAACAGCACCTCTTCTTAGCATTGGGTTTGTGGAAGGTTTTTGGTTTGGTTTTTAGGAAGGTAATTCATCCACATGTTTCAGATTTAAAAATTTCTTTTAATGCTTATTCATTTTTGAGAGACAGAGTATAAGTGGAAGAGGGGCAGAGAGGGAGACACAATCTGAAGCAGGCTCTAGGCTCTGAGCTGTCAGCACAGAGCCCAACGTGGGGCTCGAACTCATGAACCGTGAGATCGTGATCTGAGCAGAAATCAATTGTTTAACTGACTGAACCACCCAGGCGGCTTTACATGTTTCAGAAGGTGTATAGTGACATATTTCTCACCCTTTTCTACCCCTGGAGGCCGTTCTCCATTTTCCAGGTCACTAATATATGTCCTTACAGAGATATTTTTTGTATATCTCTGTTTATCTGTTAATAAAATCTATATGTAATTGGTATTTTATCTGTATCTAATCTCTTTTCATACAAATGACAACATACCGTAAGCACTGTTCTATACCTTGCTTTTTTCTTTATATCTTAGAGATCATCAGAGAACATTAAATAAAGACTAACCATAATTTATTTATGTCTAAATTATTTCTACTCTTACTATTACAAATGATGGTGTAGTGAATAGCTTTGTACATAAGTTGGTATGTACTTGTGCAAGTAAATTGAGAAGATTAATTCTCCGATGTGCAAGTGCTAGGTCAGAGTAGTATGTACATTTATAGTTCTAATAGATTTTGTCAGCTTGCTTTCCATAGAGGTGGTATTGATTTACAGTGCTATTCAGTACTGTATTAGAGTGTGTCTCCCCCAAATTCTCTTCAACTCTTTCGATCTTTGGTACTCTGGTAAGTGAAAATAGAATCTCAGTATAGATTTTAAGGTAGATTTCGTGTATTATGAATAAGGCTGAGGATCTCCATGTTTTCAACTTGTTTCTGTTTCTGTGAGCTTTCTCTTCAGCTCCTTGGCTGAGTTGTTTTTTGTTTGTTTGTTTTCCTGTTGTTTCTTGGTCTTTTTCATAATGATTTTCTGGGTTTTATACGGTAAGGATAATTACCCTTTATTGGTGCTATGAGTTGCATGTATTTCTTCCTCTATTTTCTTGTGTCTTTTGAGTTTGATTTTGGTGGTATTTGTCAATTTTTTTTATGTAGGAAATTTTATAAGTTTTTATTCAGTGGCCTTGGGATTGTAGGTCATAATTACATAGGAGCATTTTGAGGGAGCCAGGCTCTGTTACTCTGAACAGCATTAGCAAACTTTAAAGAGGAGTGGCACAAAGAACAGCATGAGCACCTAAGCTGGGGAGATGGATAACTTCTAATTGGAGCAATAAGGACCTTTCAGTATCACCTTGCTATTCATTTTGACATGAATCTGGAGCACCATTGTATCAGCAGAGTTCTTGTTCCAAACAATAGACGCTGACTAGTTAATTGAAGCAGAAAGGAAAGATATCAAAGTGCTCACAGAATCTAAACAAAAGCTAGATAACAAGGCTTGAAAAATAGACAAGACCAAGGACACCCATAGCCAGGGTCCTGCACAGTCCCAGACCTGGTTAGGACTGCTGCTGTCTGTGACATCACTGCCACTAGAAACTGGATCTTGACAGGAGAGTGAATGAACTGTCCCCACTTCATTGTGTTACTTGTCCCAGATATCTTTGTTAGAGGCGTCAGACTCAGTGTCTTAGGTAGAAGTGTTCAGTTGACCCAGCAGTCATGAAAATTAGAGACAAATGAAGCATGAAATTTTAATTTAACTAAAAACTGCTGAACCCATAGTTGATACGGAGTTACTTTATTTAGAATTCTTGCATTTCCCTTTTATGTAAAAGTTAAAACTTTGTTAAAGAAGATGATGACCTTCTCTGAAAGTTTCATATTTTGTTCATTCTAAAAATATGAGAGAGTTAGTCATAAACAAGTTAATCTCTCATAAGTGCTGAGATGAGATCATTTCAGATCTGTCCATTACAACATTTTTAGTTTGTTGTAGGAATGGTAATGGTGCATTTGGAACAGTTTTGTTCTGTGTTATTCAGCGTCTTTGGTCTCTATGGAAACAGACTTAGCATTGACCTGGATTCTCTGAGCATTTTTTTTTTTCTGACAGGCAATTATTTTGTAATGAAAGAGCCTCAGATTTTATTATAATCCAGTTTTATTCCATAGTTCTGGTACAATGCAGCATATGTGTTCCCACTCTATGCAATAAAATCTACAAGGTTTATGAGAAAACATGAGATTGGGGCACAACACTCATAACTTCATCAGTGATACATAAAAAATGATAGAAACGTAATAGAAACAGCATGCTGCCCATTGTTACTTGGTTAAAAGACACATAAATACTGCAATTAATAGGGTACTATACCTTATAAAAGACCTGAAGTTTCCTGTGGAAATGGAGTTCCTAAGAATTGGAGCTTGTGAATTGTCCTGAAGTCATGGCAGGAAGAAGATGACATGAAATTGGATCAAAGTTATATTACCAGACATGAATGGGCGCTGCTCACAGCATTCATGCTGAACTGAGGTCACTAGAAATAGTTTGGGTTATGTCCTTGTGTGTGTTTTGTATATTCTTATGAGTCTCAGAGCAACTGAATACCACTTTCTGCATTCACATAGTGTTTTTCTTGGACAAAAGTCACATTATGCTCAAATTGTGCTCTCTTATATCACTTGCATTGTAACAAATTTATCTTTTTAAAACAAGAATTGTAACAGACCTGACTGTTTACTAGAACAACTCAATAATACATATTTTAAAGATTGAGATTAGGAAAAAATGACTAATGTTTTGACTTCATAAAAGTAAAGAAATAGTTGAAAAACAATCTTTCTTTTAAAAATTAGCACTGACTTATATTTGCACCATATGTACTTAATTTATTAGTAAATTTGGAGTATATCTCCATATGAAAGACTTAGGAGTTAGATGCCTTTCATTAAAATAATAGAGCAATTCTTTACTGGCCTTCTGATAGAAGGCCTTATTAGAGGTTAAAAGTAGTTTCAACTCTGTGTGTGTGTGTGTGTGTGTGTGTATGTGTGTGTGTGTGTGTGTAGGTTGTGTGTGTGTGTGTGTGTGTGTGTGTATATATAATTCAGCCATAAGGGGGAATGACATTCTGATATGTGCTATAATCTGAATGATGTTGAAAACATACTGAGTAAAATAAGTCATATACAAAAGGAAAAATATTGTATCATTCCACTTAAATGAGATTCCTGGAATAGTTAAATTAATAGAGGCAGAAAATAGAATAGAGATTACTGTGGGCAAGAGGGAAGGGGGAATAGGCAGCTATTGTTTAATGGCTACAGTTAGTGTTTGGGATGATGAAATTTTTGGAAATAGTGGTGATGGTTGTACATTATGAATGTACTTAATGCCACTAAATTATATACGTAAAAATGGTTAAGGTGATAAATTTTATGTGTATTTTATTACAAAAAAAATCAATTTTAACTTATTTCTTCTCTTATTTAGATCTTCAACATTACTTGCATGCACCTCTAATTATACAGAAATGCTATAAATACTTCTAAACATTGATCAGACTGCATATGACAGGTCAGAATTTGAGTGCTACATTCAGATGTTTCTTATAATACTAAGCAATTAAAGTATTTTTCTGGATTTTTACCAATTCCTTTAAGAAAGTCAGTTTATTTTTCTTCTAAGGGAGAGCAGAAAAGCATTTGTTATCTTAAATATTCGTATATTTATATGAATTTATATGAATTATATATATACACACACACTCATATTTTAGTAACTAATATATATAACAAATATACTAGTAAATATAATAGTATATAGGGAATACACATGTGTACACATACATAGTTAATTATTTTACATTTAAGGGACAGGCTGAAGTACTCTGGAATTTTTTGCTCAGTGTTATAGAATTCTTAGAATGTTTAAGCCCTTGACTATAACATTGTCTTTCTGTTAAATTAGAGAAAAATGTATTCTGGAATTCCTCTTGAAATATTGACAAAGAAAATAAATCGAGTAAATTGGATTTTCCAGTGATTCCTCATAATCATGACAAATGAATAGTGTTACTAAGCTGGATCAGGAATAATATATTTTTTTAAATGTTTTATTTATTTCTAGGAGAGAGAGAGAGACAGCATGAGCAGGGGAGGGTCAGAGAGAGAGGGAGTCACAGACTGAAACAGGCTCCAGGCTCTGAGCTGGCAGTCAGCACAGAGCCCGACGCGGGGCTCGAACCCACGAACCGCGAGATCATGACCCAAGTGAAAGTCGGACACCTAACCGACTAAGCCACCCAGGCTCCCCAATAATATATTTTTTTTTAAATAAAGAAATTCTTGGGGCGCCTGGGTGGCTTAGTCGGTTAAGCATCCGACTTTCGCTTGGGTCATGATCTCACGGTTCGTGGGTTCGAGCCCCGCGTGAGGCTCTGTGCTGACAGCCAGCTCAGAGCCTGGAGCCTGTTTCAGAGTCTGTGTCTCCCTCTCTCTCTGACCCTCCCCTGCTCACGCTGTCTCTCTCTGTCTCTCCTAGAAATAAATAAAAAACATTAAAAAAATTTTTTTTAAATAAAGAAATTCTACAACAGATGGTTTCTTAGCTTTTTCATAGGATAGAATTCTTATGTGTCTATCTTTTATATGTCTGCTAAAATGTTATCCAATTATATTTCAGGTTGCAACAAGGACAGTGTCCGAGCAGGCTGTAAAAAATGTGGCTATCGTAAGTACATTAAAAAAATAACATTGTGAATAGTAAATCATTGCCTCTTTGGGCAGTGTGATTTAGCATCCTGATTTCAGGGCCCTGATTTCAGCTTAGTTCTTTAGCCCTGTTATTTAGCCCAGATTTGCAGATGGTTCAGAAATTCTTGTCAGCCCTAAATATTTACTTTCTTCCCTTGCTATAGACTGAGTGACAGGTGGCTAATATATCTGTTGACTAGCAAAAATGTCAAGTACAAGTGGAGTAGTAGATTTAGGAGCCAAGAGAAAGTATATTCCCTCCAAAAAGTATACATATAATTATTCTTTTACTCTTTGTCCTTCTAGATATTGGATGAAGAGGGGAAAGCAATGAAAATTATTTATAAAGGATTTCCCCATTTACTGAGTTTAGTCTTTATAAGGAGAATATTGGTCCCAGAAGTTCTTCTTACAGGCAAAAATTTGATTTACACAATCATTAATGTCTATTATAACTATAGAAATGGGATAGAAAAGTAAACTTTAACATGTGCAGTTATGTAGTCTAAATTTGTAATTATGTATCATAAACAAATATCATTTTGTTAGTTAAATATAATAATTCCTGAAGTTTTGGTAATAGCTATAACAGTAGCATTTGCTGGGGCGCCTGGGTGGCTTAGTCGGTTAAGCGTCCGACTTTCACTTAGGTCATGATCTCGCGGTTCGTGGGTTCGGGCCCCGCGTCGGGCTCTGTGCTGACTGCCAGCTCAGAGCCTGGAGCCTTTTTCAGTCTGTGACTCCCTCTCTCTCTGACCCTCCCCTGCTCACGCTGTCTCTCTCTCTCCTAGAAATAAATAAAACATTAAAAAAAAAAAAATACAGTAGCATTTGCTATTTTCTTTTTGTTTCCTTTAAAAAAATTTTTTGTTTAATGTTTGTTTATTTGAGAGAGAGAGAGGCAGAGAGAGAGGGAGACCCAGAATCTAAAGTAGGCTCCAGGTTCCAAGCTGTCAGCACAGAGCCGGATGCGGGGCTGGAACTCACAAGCAGTGAGATCATGACCTCAGCTGAAGTCTGACATTTAATGGACTGAGCGATTCAGGAGCCCCAGCCTTTGCTGTTTTCTAACTTGTTTGGAGACCGTGCAAATGAGCCTGGATTAGGGTTAATTATCCACATAAAATGTATCTATTTATTTATCAATTTAGAAGTATAGTTATATTTGATGCAAAATGTTACATGAGCCTCAGATGTTCAATGTTATTTAAAAAAAAAAGTAAAGGTGATTAAAAAACATGCACTTCTTCCATGTAAGAATATATGATCAGAGAGTACTAAGGGCATAAATCTCCATTAAAAGGGCTCACAATGAAAGCATACTGGGAGAACCAAGTCACATACCTCCAAGGAAAGGCTGAAATGTGGTTCAAGGGAATCTTGCTCAGTTAGCAAAAGTGGATACATAAGCATACATATCCTTCACATAAATAAAAACTCCTGAAAATATACTTGCATGCAAGAAATGATGCAGTGAAATCTTTTCTGTGTTTTAGGTTTGTTTATATTTATTTCTAATAGGTTTCCTTTCTTTAAATCTTTGCTAATTCTATATTTCATTTCTTATTTTTAAATTAAAAAAATTTATGTTATTTGAGAGAGAGTGAGCAGAAAAGGGCAGAGGGACAGAGAGAGAGAATCCCAAGCAGGTTCCACACTCAGCATGGAGCCTGATGCAGAGCTCAATCCCAGGACTACAGGATCATGACCTGAGTCAAAATCAAGAGTCAGACTCTTAACCAGCTGAGCCATTAAGGCTCCCCTCCATATTTTATTTCTTGATTCAAGACTTAGGAATGTGCTCACTCATGCTCTCTCTCTCCCTCCATCTCCTCCTCTTTCTTTCCCTCTTTCCTTCTCCCTCTGTCCCTCCCTCTCCCTCTCCATCTTCTTCTCTCTCTCCCTCTCTCTCTCTCTCTCTCTCTCTCTCTCTTTCTATATAAGTATATATATATATATATATACACACACATGTATGTATACACACAGAGACACATATATGCATATGTGTATATAGCATATACACATATGATGTATTATTTACTTAAAAATCTAGAACGATTTCCCAATGTCTACTAATACCGCTTTTTCTACTTGGACTTCTTTTAGCTTAAGACTTGTAGGAAAATTAACAAAATAATGTTTTGGAAATACAATGTTGATCTAGTCTCCTTATTGCTTTTTTATTTTACACAATGATGGAAGTATCTATAGTATTAGAATTTTTTTAGAGAAGCCAAGTAACCAAATGGGTTTGACAGTCATTTCTAACTTTAAGTTCCTTCTGCTTTATTATTTTGATCTGTGATTTTAGTGATTAAGTTATTAAATAGCTTCTCATTTGTCTCTTGTGGAAAACTTTAGTAATACTTCCCTTCTGTTAAATTTACACCTTACACCTGTTAAGGATGAAGGTCATCTCAATTTACCTGCCTTTCTGATAGAAACTACATTATAAAAATTATCTGTTATTTGTAGGCCAGAATCTTTGTTTTGATTATAGATGTAGGAGACGAGTCCACAAAACTCTAAAGTATTTTTAATGCCTAAAAATATGCATATTCATCCTTTAGTTACAAAGGAATATTGTCTCTATTGTTGTGACACTAATGGTTTAGGTTGTACAATTTTTTTAAGTTTATTTATTTATTTTGGGAAAGACAAAAACAGCATGAGTCAGGGAGGCACAGAGAGATTGGGTTTGGGGAGAGAATCCCAAGCAGGTGCCATGCTAACAGCCCAAAGCCCAACATGGGGCTCTAACTCACGAAACCTGAGATCATGACTTGAGGCAAAACCAAGACCTGGACGTTTAACCGACTGAACTACCCAGGTGCCTAGGATAATACTTGATTGAAAAAGATTTTATTGTGTCAGTGTATTTCAATAATGGTCATAGTGTTTTTAAAAGTTGCAAGTTAAAGATGAATCTGCTGCTAAATAACACTGATGTCATTTTCTCATGTCAGTTTCCTCAGCAAAATTAGAGGAATTATTTCTATGATGAGTTTTTATTTGAGTACTTTTGAAGTTGGCAACTTGCGAATATTTAAAAGCTACCAGGACACTAAACTTTTGTCCATGGAATAAATGTCTCAAATAATTATGATCATTCTCAGAAAATATACCTTTAAAAATTCAGGATAGTATTCTCAATAGTTGGCATTTGATCATAGTAGCAGGAAATAAAAACATACCTAAATACCTTTCATGTTTATTTAACCTAAAATGCTAATCTATTGCTATACATTTGTGACCTTTTTGCTAATTATTGTTTCACATAGTCTTTTAAGTGCAAATCATATCTGAAATGTATTTCCTACTATGTATAGTTTCTTCAAAGATAAGCAAGCAGCGAAAATAAATCTGAGTGCAAAATCATTTTATCATTAGTTCTCAACTAGAGTTAATACTGCCTACCTGGAATCTATGACTTTTTTTTTTTAGGTTGCCCATATGGGCTTGGGCGTTGGTAGGAATAGTGTGACATTCAGTATATAAGGTTTATGGCTTATAAACATCGTGCAGTGTGTACAGCAGCCCTGGACAGTGAAGAATTGTCTAGCTCAAAATGGCAATGGCACTCCCTTTGAAAAATAGGTGCCTTTTCTCATTGTTTTAGATTTTTTCTCTATCTTGTACAGTCTTGTTGCCAGTACCTAAATTGAAAACTACTCTTTAAAAATAATCCATTTAAATCAAATGTTTCCAAAGGTATAACTTTGTTTTATAGAAACAACCACTCTTATTTGCCCCACAGTCATATTTTTGGCCTATGTGATTTTATATAAGCACTCTGGAACAATAGCAAATTCTTAGTGGAGTAAAATATCAACAGGTAAAGTAAAATATATAGGCATGATATAAGGAAAAAGTGACCAAGAAGGTACAATGCAAGAGAGAGAGAGTGGACAGCAAAGATACCCAAAGGAATAAAGCTTTTCAAAACTGAAGGAAAATCGTCAGATGTAACCAATAGTATTTGTAAGAATTTCTTTGAAAGTTGTTCAATGGATTTACCAAGTAGGGTGCTTCTTTGACTCGAGGAAGATCAGCTTAACTAGAGTGGTAGGTCATGAAGCAAATTCTGTAGATTCAGGCTTGAATTCTGATGGCTAAAAAAGTAGAGAGTCTATATGTATAGCCTCCTGTTTCAAGAAATTTGCATGAGTAAAGTAAGGAACTGTCTTAGTCTTTATGAGCCCAGTAGCTTTTAAACAGAAATACATTGCTCATAGGAGGCTGTAAGTCCAAGTTCATAGAGCTAGCAAGTTTTCCAAGTCATAGACTTTTCATTTTTTACTGCATGGTGGAAAGGACTAGAGGTATCCCTGGAGTCTCTTTTTTAAGGCACTAATCCCATTCATGAGAGTACCACCGTCAGAAACCTTGTCACCTCTCAAAGATCCTATCCACTACTACTGTCCCCTTTGGGGGTTACAATTTCAACATATGACTTTTGAGGGGACACAGACATTCGGGTCATATTGGATAAAGTTCACCCTTGAACAACATGGGTTTGAACTGTGCTGGTGTGGTTTTATGTAGGGTGTTTTGTTTTTTTTTAATGTTTATTTATTTAGAGAGAGAGCATGGCAAGCAGGGGAGAGGGAGAGAGAGAATCCCAAGCAGGCTCTGTGTCGTGAGCACAGAGCCCATTGTGGAGCAAGATCCCACAAACTGTGAGATCATGAGCTGAGCTGAAATTGAGACTTAGACGCTTAACTTACTGAGCCACCCAGGTGTCCCCACCTTTTTTAAAATAAATACAATACAGCAGTAGAACAGGAACCACCACATGTCTCCTTCTCCCCACCTACATTTAGCCAATCTAGATCCTAGAATGATACGTGTTTCTTGCTTCTCTACATAGGAATGTGGACAACTTTCTTCCAGGCAGGAAGGTAGAGAACTAGGGAAGGCAAAGCACCCGCACCCTTCTGCTCCACCTAATCCCCTTTATGTGATTCTAATGCTGGTTCTCCTTGTAGAAAATGGCTCTGAAGGGGTGAGCTGCCAGTTCCCCAGCAATATTAGCTCCCCTCCTCAGAAAACATTCAGCACCGTGGACAGCACCCTACCCCACTGAGCCCCAGGCTTCTCTGTCTGATACTGCCCTGTCCCGAGAGCCATCCCTGGTGTTCTCTCGCACCCCTTGGTGGGAGGTGAGGTGGTTTGGGCAGGTTATTATGCGGTCTTTGGTTACTTCAGTGAGAATCCCTTCGCAGAATCTGTTCTTGCACCTCTCAGTTCAAGATGTCAGTGAACTGAACTCCCCACAGGTCGTAGGATGGTGAGTGCCAGGAGCAGACAAGAGGCCTGCTGTTCCACCTTTCCCTACAAATTTCCTCTGCCTTCACTTCGTTTTTCTCCATTTGATGACTTATATCTTAGTTTTCTGTCACATAAAATCCAGTAGTTAAGTTTGGGGGGAAACCTAAGTTATATGTGGACTTTTATCTGCCTAGGCATCAGCATCCCAGGGTCAACTGTAATTCCTAGAAGGGAATTTATGATACACGGAGGGTTTATATTTAAGATATAAGGTGTGTATATAGACTAAAAGGATATTATGGGAGATGTTGCAGATATTGGAGACAGGAGAAGATGAAGCAGTTTCCTCTAAGAGTAACTAACAAGGATAAGTTTTTTTAATGTTTTATTTATTTTTGAGAGAGAGAGAGAGTGGGGGGGGGGGGCAGAGAGAGAAGGAGACACGGAATCTAAACCAAACTCCAGGCTCTGAGCTATCAGCACAGAGCCCAGTGCAGGGCTCGAACTCATGGACCATGAGATCATGACCTAAACCAAAGTCAGATGCCCAGCCAACTGCGCCACCCATGATAACTCTTAAGTTTGGAGGAATCTAGGTGAGAATCAAGTATGGATATTTTCAGGTGTAGAGATAGAAAGTAGAAGGAAAACCTGTCTTGTAATCTCATTTTCCTTGGTAAATTAGGAGGAGCAATTGTGGGAGGGGGCACATTGAGTGGAACAGGAAAGTGGCTGAACAATGATTTAAGTCAGGCATAAGTTTAGAAAAGTCACTGAGGGGAATAAGAGAGGAACATGACCAAGGACAGACGCAAAAATGAAATGCTTTGTGATTGTGCTAATGTCCATGTATATGTGATTGTACTCAAGCATTGCTTGACTGCTCAGGGATAGGCACAGCCTAAAGAAAGATTATCTCTGAGCCAGAGTAGTTCTTTTACATTGAAGTATGGTAGAAGAAGAACATGAATGAGTCAAAGAAGCTTATAAAAGAGTGTTCCAAAAGTCAGGAATGAGAAGTTTGATGGATTAGAATAAAATGAAGGGAGTGAGTGAGTTAAGGTCTTAATAAAATTCCAAAACAGGTATCATATGATTTCACTCATATGTGGAAATTGAGAAACTTAACAGAATAACATAGGGGGAGGGAAGGAAAAGTAAGATAAAACCAGAGGCAAACCATAAGAAACTTAAATATGAGAACAAACTGAGGGTTGATGGGGATTTGGCAGGGCGAGGTTAAATGGTGGGTTAAATGGGCATTAAGAAAGGCACTTTTCGGGATGAGCACTGGGTATCATATGTAAGAGATCAGTCACTGGATTCTACTCCTGAAGCCAAGACTACATTGTATGTAAATGTACTTGAGAATCAAAAAATAAAAATTTAAAATAAATAAAAATTAAAAAGATAGAAGAACAGTGAGAAAAGGGGAGATATTAAATGCTCATTTTCCACAATAGGAAGTTAATTAATTATGCCTGAGCTGAAAAATCAAGGAGCAACAATTATTAAGAGAAATTTGTTATTTAGGGAAATAGAAAATTAACTAGAAGAGAAGAAAGTGATTTTGTTTGGAAAGGGGCAAATGGCAGGTCAGAAATGTGGTTTTTATTTAAGTCGGTAAAAACAGGTCAGTTTTATGCACACTATAACTTTGCACACAAAAATATAACTTTTATAAATGTAGAAGCTATAAAAAAAATCTTGTGCTCTACCTAATTGATTCTCTACTCTTGGAAATGCTAAGCTCTAACTCTCTTTGGAATTGACAGCTTTTATGTCAACAATTAGCTTAAAGACAGTGACAGCAAATAGATTTGTTTTTTTTTTTCTTTTGAGGAGTAAATTTAGTAAGAGTGACATAAATAAAAAGGAGACAGAATAAAGTGTGTTGACAGAAAAAAAAATTCCAAAACAGATCTATGCATGATTGTAGTGGAATGAGAAAGCTAGAAGTATAAAAACTTATAGTCAGAGTATAATAGTGGAGCTTAAAACTTCCGACATGGAACACTTCAAGTAATGACAAGGAGCATAGTGTGCCCTTGGCATCTAAAATGTCAAGGAACTGTGCTCTTGAGGCCATGCAACACTCTAAACTGTTCATGTAGGTTTGTGGAAGGGCTTAGGGTGAAGAACCCAAGTCTGAGCCAGATTCCAAACACTTTAGTGGATGGGCTATTACACAGCAACAGACGGCTGCATGGGACAGTAGAGGACTGCTGTTTTGAGGAACAGTATTAAGAAGCCTGGAGGATACTAATGATACTGAGGTAAGCTATTGAAAAGTGTTCCCAGGAAAGAGCCAAATATCCTTTAAAACAAGTGGTAGAAGGAGCAAACTGTCAAGAGGTAATAACACAATTTGTCCACTAAAGATTGCATGTTTCAGAAGCTGTCATAAAAAGATTGGGGGAGAAAGGGATGACAATCTGTTAGTTCAAGGGAGCAGTAGCAGTATTATGAGGATAAGGCTTCAAGGAAGATAAATGGATTCAGAAGCCTCCATTTTTGGATATCATAATTATAGGGATATGAAGCTTAGTGGAATTATGTTTAATAATTGAGAAGTTTATGATACAGCCTTTATTCTCTGTATAATCATAGAAGTACTTAAAAATTATACTATCAGAAGCTATTAGGCAAAAAAAAAAAAAGAGAAGATTTGAGCAACAGAATAGAGATAGCACTCTATTCAACAGAGTGATACATATTCATAGCAAATGCATACCAGATCATTTCATGAATTTACTACATGATAGTCCACAAAAGTAATATCAGCAAATACCAAGTAACTGATATCATACAGACTCTACTTTCTCATAACAGTGTAATATCTTTATAAATCAATAAAAGCTTAATCTGAAAACTCCATATGTTTGGAAACTGAAAAGAATACTTATGAATGATTCATTTGGAAGGAAGTCATAATGGAGGAAACATTTCCAGCAGTATGGCAGACAGGATCCTTTTGCAAGCAGTTAAGAAACTTAAAATGTGCAGTACATATTTTAGATACAATAGTGTTCTAGGAAGAAAATAATTAGAGAATACTCAGAGGACAACAATCAAAGGAAAGCAGAAATTCTAAAAATTAAGACTTGAGAGTATTTCCTGAATCCAGCGTTCTTGAACTTGGGTTTTCATGAGTTTGCAGAGTGCAGGGGATAAAAGCAAGGCCCAGGGTCCTGCTTAAGATTGTGACTCTAATACGAGATGTTCTTGAATAAATCTAGAACTTCCAAGAGAGAACTAGAAATAAACCCTAGCACAAAACTATGGTAATCATTAGTGTGTTGTGGAATCAGTTATATGGTTACTGTCAGCACTTTCTTTGTTGTTTTTATTTTTGTTTGCTTTTTGTTTTTGAATATTAGATGTAGTACTCAGGCCACTTTTTGTTTCATATTTGTGTGTTAGTATTTATATTTGGAAGTATAAATACACTTAGTTTTAGTGTTATTTTTTTTACCATCAATCATAGTAAAAAAAGCAATGAAAGTTGCTGCCTTAGAGAAACCATGTCATGTGCAGAAAATGTACAGCTACTCATTTTGGCATTGTTTACAATAGCAAAGTACTGAAAGGAACCTAAGATTCTACCAGTAGTAGAAAAGATAAATAAATCTTATTCTTATATAATGGAACATTATTCATCAGATAAAATGAGATAGTTACATCTACTTATGTTAATATAGGTAAATCACAAAATACAATATTGAGTGGCAAAAAGTAGAAAAAAAGTAGTTACAGAATGGTAGGTAAGTATAATTGGGTTTATGTTAAATAAATAATCAAACGTGCTATTTTGGAAAGATAAATACCAACTTCAGTATACCACCTTCTGAAGACAGAATAGAATAGATTCTAAGGAAGGGTGCAAGGTCACCGATTTTGTGTGTATGGGTGCACATGTGTGCAAACACTTGCCATAAAAAAAAACCTGTAATTAAATAACAAAATGTTAACATGTGGGTAGATAGGTACTTGGATATTAGTTATATAATTTCCTGTACTTTTCTGGTATTTGTACTGTTTGATTGTTTTAAAAGTTACATCCTGTGATAAGTATGTAACTGTTGTAGTTTCCTTGTAGTGATCAACTTTAGGAGGTGAATGATGTCAGAATGAAATTTTTTTTCAGAATTAAATATTTAAGTGTTCTTTAGAAAAATACACTTAGTTAAATTATCATAACACCTTCAGTTAGATGAAAGCTATGTAGTTGCTATGTAATTAAGTACATAGGGAAAACAGGAAAAAGTTCTCTGAGTGGTACATTCAGGAAAAGCAAACTACCACTCTGAATAAAAGTTAAAACTAAATGTTATATTATTAAAATTGTAACTTGTTTAACCATGGGGCAACAAAATAAAAATATAATGAGTATCCTTAGGTATTTATTATTTTGTCATTCACGTTTTTGTTTCTTTCTTTTACTTAGCTGGTCATCTGACATTTGAATGCCGCAATTTTCTCCGAGTAGACCCCAAAAGGGACATAGTTTTGGATGTGAGCAGCACAAGTAGTGAAGAGAGTGATGAGGAGAATGAAGAACTGAATAAATTGCAGGCATTACAAGAGAAAAGTAAGTCATGCTTTTCTTTCCCTACATCCTTTAAAAATGATTCTAAATATTCTGCTTTATTATATAATGTTTATTTATTATTCTGCTATACTTGTCATTAAGATACCTTGTGTACTTATGGAAGAGGTACTGCATAGGTAAGGATAGTCTTTGGATGTTGTAAGTACTTTGCCCCACATCAAACAGTGGATCCGTGTTACAACCAGGAGTCATGTCTATTTCTCATTCCGCAAAGCAGGTTCTGTTACTGGTGTTTTTCCATCACACTAAGATGTGTCACATGGTACAGAGAATCTGATTTAAGACTTGGTTTCTAGACCCATTTGGCCATTTTTTAACAAGTAACTGTCAGCAAGTCACTTAACCCCTGTGAACCTTAATTTCCTTGTGGATAACACAAAGAAGCTGTTTGTCAAATCACACTAATTCAAATCGGAGATACTAGCCAGTATCAAGCTTCACTAAGAATGTCAAGTACATAAATGATCATGAGGCACAGGGAAAAGTGCAGGAGTTCTAGGACCGCCAATACAGCTCCCCAGGTATTTTCTTTCTTTTTTCACAACCCACTCTGGCCAAGATTAACATGAGGTTTCTTCATTACACAAAAGAAAGTCATTTAATCATGAAACATGTCAATGTTATGTCCATATAGTTACATTTTCCAGTGAGCCTTGCCTCATAAATCCATAGATTCCAGGATTATATATCATAAATGTCTTAGATTCAGTACATCGTGGTATAAGCAGTCTATAAATAAGGATTCTCTTCCCAACAACTTGATTGCAGACTTCTAGTTTTTAGAACTGTGAGAAAATAAATTTCTGTTACTCAAGCACAACCCTACATCCCCCACTCCCAAAAGTATTCTGTAGCTAGTATATACCATTAATTTGTTTCCAGGAAGTCTGTCATTAGCATGTTTAGAGATTTGACCAAGTTACCTTTTTTCTTTGTTGGGGGACACACTCCTCTCTCCTCAAAGAAAGAGTAGATTGTATACCTGCTGTTTAACCATTTCTTTCCCATTTTGTATATAAACCCACAACTACAAAGAAAATGAGGTAGGAAGCAATAATAACACAGTTTTGAGAAGCAGATGGGTTTAGTCACAATGGACTGCACACTTGAGAAAGTTCATTCCTTTAATAGTAAGAAATCTGAGGAATAACCTGACAGCACACATTTTAAAACTCCCGAACAACTTGGTAATGAGTATCCTTAGGTATCTCTGTGAAGACGTCTGTGAAGCTAAAAACAAAGAGATTGGTTAAAAATCTGACATAATTCCCTTCAATTGCCATTCCCTCCTCTGTGAAGCCAGATGGCTTCCTTCCATTAACTCAGCAGGCTATTACAGCTCTATTTTCTAGACAAGTAAAACAAAGGGTCTTTAAAATGAGATATACCAAATACAGATGAAAACAGTAGGTTAAAGTATAGTAAGTTAAAGATGAGAACCTTCCAGCCATCTTCACCTATTCGGTTCCCAGACATATATCACCCAGGCAGAAGATCTGAAGGTTCATCTCTGAGAGATCTGACTAATCTAAGATGAAAGAAACAAAGATAATGACCTCAGGGATTCTTCAAAGATAGGACAGAGTCACGTTACCAGTGAAGTTGAGATTTCCAAGCTTTGCTTGCTCAAAGCTTCCTGTCAGCTTTTTGGCAATCAAGAAGCACTAAATATCTCAAGTGAAATATAGATTCCAAAACCAACCAATGAACAAAAAAGTCAGCTTGAAGTCTGTGCAAGTAGAAAACAGAAACCATTAATATCCAGTTTTATAGAAAGAAAAGATATAGCACTCATGAAACAAGAATAAGATACTATAAAAGGAACAACTCAGCAAAAGAACTTTTGGAAATTAAAAAAAAAAGCAGCAGACATTAAAAACTTAACAGAGATGGAAGATAAAGAAATTTAACAAGCAAAATAAGGGAAGAAAAAAAAACAAAGGGGAAAAAAAGAAGATCATTGAAGAATCAATCTAGGAAATATTTCATTCACGTAATCCCAGAAAGAGAATACAGAAGGAATTTCTGAGAACTGAAGGATGTTAGTTTCCAGATGAAAGGGTTCAACCAGTACTAAGCACAGTGTTAGAATTAGACTCACACAGAGGCACACTGTTAAAAAAAACTTCGTATCATAGAAAATGAGAATATAATTCAAACTTCCAGAGTCAAGGATAAAACAGGTCATAGGTAAAAGATCAGAAGTCAGAATAACTATTCTTCTCTAAAGCAACACTGGAAGCTAGTAGATGTGGATAATGCTTTCAGATTTTTGAAGGAAAATTGTATCCAAATTAGAATAATATACCCAACCAAATTATCAACCAAGTGTGAAATAGAATAAAGGCATTGGCAGACATTCAAAATGGAAAATAAAAAATAACCTTTCACATACCCTTTCTGAGGGCACTAATTCCAGAGTTTTCTATCAAAGTGAAGGGGGAAGACCCAAAGAAGGAAGACATCATAGGAAGTAGAGGAGATAGGAGGGAGTCTCTAGGTCACTTGTGAAGGAGATCTCAGCTGCACCAGGCACAGAGAGCAGGCTGAAGGGGCAAAGCTGAAGATTCTAGGAGAGAAACCCCAAGACTTTCAATTCCACAGGGACAGTTTCTGTCCCATCCATCTACACTGCTCTGTCTAAAAACAAAAACAAACAGAAAAACCCCAAGACCAAACCAAAACAAAAACTTTAGAATTAGTAAAACTCTTAGAAAACACATAACTTAAACCTAGTTTTACAGAAAAGGAACTGAAGACAGATGACTCCCAAGTCACTAACTCGTCACATTGAAGACAGTACCAGGATATCTTTCTTGCCTGCTGATCCTATACTGTTTACACTGTAGTATGCTGCTCTCCTACTTTGGAGATGATCCAGTCTCTTGGCTCTTCATCTTTTTTCCTTCACCATATGAATCTTAAAAGATAAAGTACACTTTCATCATGAATAGTGGTTTATTCTAGAGGTGATTTTCTATCTGAAAACCTGGAACAAATCTACTCTGGCAGGAAAGGGAGGGAGTTAACATACCATAATCACAAGGATAGGGAGTAGTTGGTAAAACTTTGTTATTCTAATCAGCTTTCCCTTAATCTCACATTGAAAATGACTGACTCAGTGTAGATTTTTTTCTTAAAAAGGTATGCTTGCCTATGGTCACTTAAAGTCTCAGAACTTGTTTCCCACTCAGGAGAGTGCTCAGTCCAGTATATCATGCAGAAGTCAATAATAAAGTATTATAAAAGGGATCCAGGGGCGCCTGGGTGGCTCAGTCGGTTAAGCATCCAACTTCGGCTCAAGTGATGAACTTGTGGGTCCATGGGTTTGAGCCCCGCATCAGACTCTGTGCTGACAGCTCAGAGCCTGGAACCTGCTTCAAATTCCATATCGCCCTTTCTCTGACCCTCCTCCACTCATGCTCTATCTCTCTCTCTGAAAAATAAACAAACATTAAAAAAATTTTTTTAAAAGGATCCATATTTATTTTGTGGTTATCTAGTGGAAGCCCAGTGATACCACCCGCCCCCCTGCCCTGCCCCGACTGAAATAAACAATAAATTGGTTCCTAAATACATGTAGGAAGAGGGTTTAGAGGTTGTGGTTCTTCATTCCATTGATAACTGTCTGTTACCGTTCAGGATCTCTGATGGGGTCAGGTTAAAATACTGACTTATTGAGTGTGAGTTCTCATGCCATAGCCTTTAGTACTCCTGAGGGCTTCTTGAATCCTGCCTTGGTTCCTCAAGGTGGAGAGCTCTTGTACCAACCATCTTCACTAAGTTTTATGTGTGTTTATGTATTTTAATGACAAAAAAGATAGTGAGGCAGGAGAAAGCAAAGAATTTTTAATGTGCTTATAAGAGTTGTTCTGCTTTCATGAAATGGAGACATGAAGGGGAGAAGAGATAAAGTCACCAAAAAAATAAAATCCAAAACTTTTTGGTAGAAGTTATATTTTTTTGCTTCTGTTTGTATTTATTTCTATTATATATTTTTCAATGCATTTTATATATTTAAGGAATTAAAATAATTTAATCTTTCATTTAAAACAAAATCGCCTAAATGACAAATTACAGTTTTTGACAGAAATTAGAAAATATGAGAGCAGTACTTGACATGGACGGGTACAAGCATTGTTGTTTTCTTATAGTATAACAACCTAGAACCTGTACAGCCTTATAAAATTGTGTTACCAGTGTTGTGAACAGGGAAAGATTGAACAGTCAGTGCATGATGAGGGTTATATAATCTTATTGACTCACTCTGTCTGTATGTATGTATTTATGTGTGAACATGGTTACTGCCTAGTGGCACAACAATACTTTAGGAAACGTTTTAAGGTTTTATACTGTGTTTTAAACTTGCTGAGAAAGTTGCCTTTGGAATTGTATATGATAGTAGCAAATATTTGAAGACCTGTTTATGTTAGAAAATGCAAAAAGTCAAGGTAAAAGGATTTTACTATTTACAAAGGATCAAAGAAGTTCAAGAGTATGGATTTTTTGTTCTCATTCTATTTTACCTAGTGTTATATAATATTAATTAGCTATTACCTGTAATTAGGAGGTATTCCTCTTCTCATAGCTTATCCCTTAATATTTTATGATATTCTTTTAGTTCAGCCCAGAAAACAAGTATTGTGTTTTGACAAATTTGGAGGTTTGGGGTTATTTTGATGGTTTGGTTTGGTTAAGAAAGTTTTATGTTAGAGGTGCCTGGGTGACTCAGTCAGTCGAGCATCTGACTTTGGCTTAGGTCAAGAATGATCTCGCTCTTCCTGAGTTTGAGCCCTGCATTGAGCTCTCTGCTGTCAGTGCAGAGACTGCTTCGGACCCTCTGCCTCCCTCTCTCTCTGCCCCTTCTCTGTTCACATTCTCTCTCTCAAAAATAAATAAACATGAAAAAAAGTTGTATGTTAAATTCATACTTGATATCATTTAAAGATGGTTGATTCTGAACACTGCCCAGTAGAAAA